TCGCATGTTAATTAGCGGTACAAAGCCTGAAATGAATATTTGATCATCTATTACAATATTCACTTATAAATTACTGTTATTTTTATTAAAAAAAATTATATTTTACAATCTCAATAATTTCTTGTAGAAAAATTATTCATAAAAATATAGTAAACAATAATTTGATAAACTTTTTAACAAAAAAATTGATTTTTTTCTATATTGTATTGTATATTAGTCATTTATGAACATTTTTTAAACAGAAATAGAAGATTAAAATTATCAAATTAGTATATTGTCCTAAAAATTAAAGTTGATTGGATAAAAGTTATAATAGAGGACTGAATATGCAATGTTAAAAGTAACCATAATGATTTGGGATTTTTTTTACAAGATTTTGGTGGGTCTATTGTCATATACATTTTACAAAGGTTAAAAAGAAGGCAAACTAAAAAAGAAATAAAAAGTTAGAGTGGTCGCCAATTGTTGATCACTTTGACGCGCCCATCAAGCCAGTGCAGTGGAGCGTGAATAGCATGTACCAGTTGGACATGCAAATTACTTCCATGCGTTTATTTGTTTCTTTTGTTTTTTTTTTTCTTTCTTTAATGATAAAAATCGAAACTTAGTAAAAAAAATCCCAACACTCTCAGCTCTCCTCTATATCAATAAAAAAAAACGCTAAAAAATCTAGCAAAAATTCTCGTTAAGCTTGCTCTAATAAAATTATCAGACTAAAGATAACAATACCACAATTATCGTGAGAAAAGTGATGAAATGTTGTCAAAATGAAATTAACTTACTTTTTGAATGGGTACATTTGACAATTCTTATAAGCCAAGATTCTACCTTGACCAGTTAGGAGATCTTTTATAGCAGTGTACTTTTCTTTTCCATGGCCTTTTAGGCTTTTACGCTAAATATGATGGCATCTTTTATTTTTAATTTTTTTTTAAATATCTTTTGACGTGAAAGTCAATTTTATTACTCAAGTCAATTATGTATTGGGACAGCTATATAATTAACTTTAACATTGATTAAGAGACCTCCAATCTCCTTCGCCACTCGAGCAATCATGTACTTCAACTGCATCAATTCTAATTATTGACATCCTGCCTTAGCTTGTTAGTGACCTCATTTAATTCAAAGCAAAAAAAAAAAAATTGTAAATTATGATATACAAAACAATATAAAATGATTTATGTGGGCACAACAAAATTAGAAAATGACGTAAAAAAAAAGAAAAAGAAAAAGAAAACACACACACACACAATACTAGTGGTGATCGAAGCATAAAATTTCTTAATTGTGAGAAGTATAGTAGTTTAAATACTATATATATATTCACAAAAATAATATATAATTTTCTCTTCTAATTTTTTTTTTTCTTTAAAGAAAAAGAATTTTCTTTAGACGATAAATCAAGTAGATAGAGGTGAGAAATCCTCATATTCCAATGAAAGAAAACATCTAATGCTAGAGATTAGAATAGTGATTATGGTAAAAACTAAAAAGTTGTCTGGACGAGGTCGAGAAGTAGATAAAAAAAGATAAAATTATCAACCGTAACATAAATTATCAACCATCTATAAATACAACTAATAGATGCATTAATAAGGGTGGATAGCAACTAATCATAAGGCAGACTTCATTCCGAACACACATTTTGATAGCGATTGTGAACTTTCACGTAAATCAAAACATTTGATAATTTTTTTAATAACGTCACAAATTCATTGTGAATATTTTATCAAGTCGATCATAATGCTTGTACAATAATCAAATTCACCCCCTTTTTTTTTGTAGTGAACAAAATAGACATACTATACCATGCTTAAACTTGAATCCAATTGGTCCTAACAAGCTAGCTATCTTACATTGCTTGCAATTCCATATTTTGCATGCAATACATACATATAGGTGGAAAAAAGTGGATAGTTAGGTGCAAGAAACCTTTCTTTCTTTCTTATGGCTTAGCTTGAATCACCACAATTAGTTGAAAACTAAGATTTTTGGGCAAACAAACAAACCACGCCACCTTACGTAAATCACAATCCAATATTATATTTTTCTCTATCTTAATTAAACATATATAAATCAAACAACATTTAATTATTGTTTATTCCCTATTAATCATGCAACGTGTCGGAAAGCAATGCATCGAGGGGCCCATAATTTTTAAAAATTAAATTTAAAAATGAAACAACGTGGAAAAAGTTTATTATTATATCAAAAGAAAATGAACACGAAATTGCATTGCTTTTGATTGCAAAAACTGTGGTCTTGGTCACTTTGTCAGTGGCACCATTATTATTTATTATTTATTTCCCAGTATATATATTTTTTAATTAATATAATTGTCATATCTTATTTTTCATAGTGCTTTCCAAAAACGGATATCATCTTTTATTTTTACGGCACGATAAAATAATATAAAGCATAATAATTATGTATAAGTACGTATTAACTATATTTCCATGCGCATTGTGTAAATGAGATAATGTTCAATAATTATTTTTAAATAAGTAATTCAAAGTATATCAATGTAAAATTATATAGGAGATGTTCATGTACAGGTAATTGAATGTTGAATTTGTTTATTTAAATTAGTAATTTAAAGTATATAAATGCAAGATAATATATGAGAAATTGATTATAATTGTCACTAAAATAAATGTTTGTAACTTTGTAATAAATCTAGACTGCTAGTCTAAATACTTAGTATAAAAAAATAGTCTAAAAAAAATACTACTTTTGGTTTAAATTTCTCTAAGTCTTCTTAATTCTCTTCTCTTTTGGATAGCATTGTCATTGTCTTCATCTTCAGTACTTCACTAGTACAAAAATGATCAAAAAAAATCTAAAAATATGCTTTCGAAGTTTAAACATAAGACGTGTAAAGTGGGGGACGGTGACATTTTTGTAATTAAAATGCCACCATATAATTTTTTTTTTTTTTAAAATGTGTCCAATGTTTGGGAACATCAGACGCATATTGTGGAGCTGCTTATTTAAAAGAACTATATGCGTTCGAAGCTCTCACACTTCGGACGCATATAGTTAACGCATTAATACAATATGCGTCCGATATTCCTAACATCGGACGCATATTATTAGGGCTACGAAAAAAAAAAAAACTCACCCCCCCTACATCTACCTCCCCACAGCTTCCAAACAAACACTCCACAACCGCCGCTCTCGTCGTCTTCTCCTACACTCCACCGAACTTTCGTCATCTTCTCCAGTCCTCGCCGCCTCCGGTCTTCCCCACACCGCCACAACACTCCTCCATCTTTCCCGCTATTCCATGCCATTCCCCACATCTTCTTCTTCCATTGCCGCTAGCCTCCAGTCCCGTCGTCGCCGCCGCCATCGGTCTCTAGTCCTAATCGCCGCCGCCACCGGTCTCCAATCCTCGCCGTCACCGGTCTCCAATCCTAGCCGCAAGCTCGCCACCAGCGCCAGCCGTCCTCCGATCCAACCCAAGATATGTATATATATATATATATATATATATATATATATATATATATATATATATATATATATATATATATATATATATAGTTGTTATTGTGTGATAAAAATGTTGTATAATACATTTTAGAAATTTTCTTGTTTATTTTAGTTTAGATTAATTGTGTGTTATTGTATATCTTAACTATAATAAAGTTATATGGTTTGAGAAGTAATTAATGTTACAATTAATGCCACAACATCCTTTATTATTTAAAAAAAAAAGCACAACATTTGAAAAATAAAATAACTATATATTATATAATCATATAAAAAATGTACTTTTGAAAAATAAAATAGCTATATATTATATAATCATATAAAAAATGTGTTCAATTAGAGTTTAAATTTACTCATACAAAATTTAAAATTTGCTTTCCAAATGTAATTACCTTAGTTATTATTCGTATTGTGAAAATTATAATATAGATGAAATACAATTAAGAATAAATCAATGTAATTATATGTAAATTCTCTCTATAAGTTTATTTGAATATGCACATAATTAGAGATTATATTAACCATACAAAATTTAATTTTAATTTTAATTTTAATTTTGTATTCTATAAAAATAATAAATACTTGACCAATGGAAGCTAAAAAATATTATTATATTAAACAATTTAAAATATTTTAGTTTTTCTATTTTTTATTTATATTTATAATAACATAATTTTTTCCCATGCATCGCGCGGGTGAATTACTAGTGTATATAAACAATGTGTATTGTGTATTATGTATTATGTTTATAAAAAATGAAAGTGAAAAATTATAAAAATAATATGATTATGAATAAACAAAAAATAATTTTATAAGTATCAAATTAAAGTATATAAGTAAATAAAATAAAGTGTATAACCAAATTTAACAAAATGTTTAATAAAAAAAATTAATTATCAAATTAAATTAAAGTAAATAAAAATTACATAAGCTAATTCTTACAAAATTAAAAATTAAAAATTACAAAATATTCTAACTATTATTAGAAAAAGTTTTAACAGATAATCTAATTAATTGTTTATTATGTATAACTTTTCATTGTATGATAAAAGTTCAATAAAACATTAAATTATTTAGTTAGTTTTAGGTAGTAAATTATTTAATTAGTTTTAGATAGTATTTTAAATTTTAAAATTTAAATTATTTAGTTAAAGTTTGAACTTGAGCCTTTAAGTTATAACTAAGTAAACTAACTCATTTATCATATCTTAAATGTTGTGAGACAATATATAGGAGATATGTATCAGAGTTCGATGTATAAGAAACGCAATACACTTGAACATGTTCATGGGGTTTAATAGTTTATTAAAATTGCCGATCGAGGAATATGCAAGTCAAATTGGTGAAAATTATATAGTGTTCCATTGTTATGATTATAGAAATCTAAAAAGGTTCTTAGTTCTAAACAAATTAAGAGTCATTTGATACGTCGTGATTTTAAGGAAGGATATGACCAATGGATATGGCATGGTGAAACTGTACCTATTAGTGTGAGTACAGATGATATGGGATTAAATGTAGAGAAAGATCAAAGTAATGAAGATAATGTTGGAAATGATGGAGACAATGACCAGCTATATGAATTAATGCATGATATGCAAGGGGATTTGAATGAAATGCCTCAAGAGTTTGAAAGTTTTTTTGAGAATTCTGGACAACCTTTGTTTTCTGGATGTAGTAAATTTACAAAGTTATTAGCAGTGCTTAAATTGTATAACTTAAAAGCAAAAAATAGGTGGAGTGATAAGAATTTCACGGGGTTATTAGAACTTTTAAAGGACATGCTTCCTAATGATAATGAACTTCCTTGTTCAACTTATGTGGCAAAGAAAATGTTATGTCCGTTGGGTATGGAGATTGAAAGGATCCATGCATGTCCGAACGATTGTATTTTGTATTGGAAACAATACAAAAACTTGCATGTGTGTCCGAAGTGTGGAGCATCGCGTTATAAATGGAAAAGGCTCGATGATGCATGTGAGCAGAAGAAAGGTCCTCCAGTGAAGTTGTTGTGGCATCTACTGGTGATTCTAAGATTCAAACGTTTGTTTGCAAATGCAAATGATGCGAAGAATTTGCATTGGCATGTTAGTGGGAGAAAAGAAGATGTAAAGTTGAGACATCTTGCCGATTCTCCTCAATGGAGAAACATTAATAAAAAGTTTCCTGAATTCGGTGTTGAAAATCGAAATCTTAGGCTTGGACTATGCACGGATGGAATGAATCCTCATGATAACATGAGCACTCGCCATAGCACTTGGCCAGTTATTTTAAAAGTTTACAATCTTCCTCTGTGGTTGTGTATGAAGCGCATGTACATCATGTTACCATTGCTAATATCTGGTCCTAAACAACCAGGAAACGACATAGATGTGCACTTGGCACCGCCTGTTGAAGATTTAAAGATGTTTTGGATAAAGGTGTGACGGTATTTGATGCTCATAGTCAAACCAACTTCACTTTACGAGCTAAGTTGTTCTACACAATCAATGACTTCCCGGCATATGGTAACTTATCAGGGTATATTACTAAATGTGCTAAGGCATGCCCTGTTTGTGAAGAGGAAACAGTTGATCTTTGGTTGAACAACAGTAGGAAAAATGTGTTCATGAGTCACCAAACCTTTTTACCTATTGACCATCCTTATCGAAAGAAGAAAAAAACTTTCAATGGAAAATATGAGACTAGAGTAGCTCGCTTACCATTATCAGGGGATGTCATTTAGGAACAAGTCAATAACATTGATAATGTGTGTGGAAAAACTTCAAAAACAAGTCAAAAGGGTATTTGAAAAAAAAGAGATCTATATTTTGGGATTTACCATATTGGGAGCACTTATCTGTTCGACATTGTCTTGATTTAATGCATGTAGAGAAAAATATTTGTGATAGCATTATCGGGACATTGTTGAATATTCAAGGTAAGAAGAAAGATGGTATCAAAGCTAGAAAAGATATGGTAGAAATGGGGATAAGGGCTCAATTAGCACCACAAGAATTTGGAAAGAAGACATACTTACCTCCAGATTGTTATACTTTGTCTAAAAAGGAAAAAAAAACAAATTTTGTAGCTGTCTAAATGGTTTCAAGCTTCCTTCTGGCTATCTTACTCTATATAATAGCAAAATGTTTTTTGCCAATCAATTTCCCGCCTAAATGAAATTGCATCATTTTAAGGTATTAAAATACCAATTAAATGAAATTGCATCATTTTAAGGTATATAATGCATCATACTTATCTATTTTCAATACATGTTAATCTACAATTATTGTTATTTAATGATGAAGCAGGTAATACATTCCAGTATTTTTAAGTTAACATTTTATTATATAAATTAATTTATTGTTTACTGGAAAAAAAATTAGAGTATCCAATTTTAAAAAATAAGATTAACCTGTTTTTTATTCTTACAATTTTGTTGATCGACAACAATTTAATTGTTCATTCTAATATAGTTTTGAGAGGGAATTTTTTTTTTAAAAAAAAAAAGTTACTAAATCAGTTACTAAATTGAAATTTTTTTTTTTAAAATTTAAATCAGTTGCATGAACAATAATATTAGAGAGACGCATAAGTTTAAACAAATAATTATTGAACTGATATTAAGTAATTAGAAAATATGATGTATTTCTTAATTTCGTTTTAAACAATAAGTTTTATCTAAAGATGATACTGTATTTATTAGTTTGTTTTAGATTTGCTCCGGTCACCCGATTTTTCAGATCGGCATTTGGGGAAGAAAGCAATTCCACAACGGCCAAAAGCTACGATTAGATTATCTGAAAGCAATTCCACAACGTCAAGACACCAGAAACAGAGAAGGTTCGCGTAAGTCAGTGAACATTTTAGAGAGAATGACAAACGCAACAGAGTAGACGGAAGCGCAATCGTCAAAAAATATGGATTAGGGTTTGGTAATGAGGTTTTATAATTGGGTTAATGGGCTGAAATGCAATGTAACTGGGTTATATGGATAGATAATTAAATGTTTATTGGGCTTAGCATTGCAGGTTTTATTTTTTCTTTCATGTCATAAAATATTTCATATTTAGTTTAGATTTATATATGTTGTACGTATATAATTATTATTATTAAGCAATGTTTAAGAAAATATTTTCGTAGTTAGTTTCAATGTATGATGATGATACTGTATTTTTTATTTATATATTGTCAAGTATATGTACTATAGGCTTAAATTGCAAATCATATTAATAAATGTTTTTATATATAAGAAAATTTAATTTCATAATTTTTTTATTGTATATTGTTTGATTTTCTAATTAAATTTTTTTTTTTATAAAAATGTGTGTGTGTGTGTATACATACATATATTAATATATATATATATATATATATATATATATATATATATATATATATATATATAATTATTTTAATGTACACTTTTTAAATCTCATGTGGTATGTTATAACACAATTCTTTATAATATATGCTAACAATATGTGATGTTCGATATAACAACCAATTTAGTATTGTTAAAGAAAAATACATTTCAGAATAAGTTTTAATTTCATGATTAATATTTTATTTTATTGTTTTTAAAATATTATCAATATTAAAGTTACTTAAATTTTATGCCGTGCATCGCACGGGGCAAAAACTAGTTCATCTAACATTAAAAAAGCTTGTTTCAATGAAGGGCCTTAAATTGATTGGTAAGAAATCACATGATTGCCATGTGTTAATTCAACATATGTTACCTGTTGCTATTAGAGACATATTACCAAACCATGTTAGACAAGCCATTACAAAGCTTTGCTACTTTTTCAATGCCATTAGTAGTAAAGTTCTTGATCTTGAGGTGTTGGATTCTTTGCAAGCTGATGTGGTAGTAACTTTATGCCAGTTTGAAATGTATTTCCCCCTATCATTTTTTGATGTTATGGTGCATTTAACAGTTCACTTGGTGTGGGAAATTAAAATGTGTGGTCATGTATTCTTGAGGTATATGTATCCATTTGAGAGATACATGGGAATTTTGAAAGGATATGTGAGAAATCGATATTGGCCAAAAGGGAGTATAATTAAAGCTTATGGCGCTGAAGAAGTCATTGATTTTTGTACTGATTATTTGGCTAATGTTGAGTCCATTGGTATTCTTAAATTGCGTCTTGAAGGAAGACTCACAGGAAGAGGTACCATTGGGTTAAAACACATCTCCCAAGTTCAATAATCTGAAATCAAGCACATCATCTCGTACTGCAACACCTTTTTGAGCTTCATCCATACTTGAATCAACACATGTCTATTATAAGGCTACAAAATCCTTCTAAGGGTGAAATGTGGGTGATAAATGAACTAAATAACACATTTATCAGATGGTTCAAAGGTACAGTGATGCAAGAGTTATCTCAAGTGCCAAATAATATCAGTGAAACCATTAGGTGGTTAGCGTATGACCCTGGTATACTTGTGAACACTTATGAGGGATATGATATTAATGGGAATATGTTTTACACAAAACGTCAAGATAAAAAAAAGTATGGTGCAAAAAAGTAGAGTGACATTAGTAGCACTATTAAGATAGTATTCTAGTGTTAAAGATACTAACCAGGTAGATGCTGATATGTCGTACTATGGCGTCATTGATGAAATTTGGGAACTTGGTTATAAGGAGTTTAGGATTCCTCTATTCCGATGTTCTTGGATTGAGAACAGACGGGGTTTCCAAGTCGATGATTTGGGTTTTACCTTAGTTGATTTTGGTCGGCTAGGATATCATGATGAACAGTTTATACTTGCATATCAAGCTAAAAAAGTCTTTTATGTTTATAATCCTATTGATAGTAAGTAGTCAGTTGTCTTACAAGACAAAAGAAATATTGTTAGTGTTTGGTGATGTTGTGGATGAAGATGAATATGATCAATTTGATGAAACCCCACCATTTTCTACTGGTATTCAACCTGTGGCTTTAGGTGAAGATAACATTGATACTAATTACATGCGTACTGATAATGAAGAACGATTGTGGGTTAACCATCCGATAGTATAATTTCTAAAATGAAATCTTTTTTTTTTATAACATGTATATATATATATATATATATATATATATATATATATATATATATATATATATATATATATATATATATATATATATGTATGTATGTATGTATGTATGTATGTATGTATGTATGTATGTATGTATGTATGTATGTATGTATGTATGTATAGGAAAAAGTTCAAATGCGGCGAGGGCTTTAGGTGCGGCGGAATTTTAGAATACACCAACAATGTAAGGGAAACACACTACAATGAAATGCAAAAAAAAAAAAAAAAAAAAAACAAAACAAAACAAAAAAAACACAACAGACCCAAAAAAAATACACCATGTAACTCACCACCCCCAATGGTGTATTTCCGAACACTGTATCGTGTTTTTAATCACACCTAATGGTGTGATTTTTGTGATGCGTACCTAATTTGTGTGTGTTTTTGTGGTGTATTTTCCTAACGTTGATGGTGTATATTTATTGAACTATTGTGACGCTGCACCGTCGCACCGTAAGACACCGCCGCACTTGAAAACAACTTATATATATATATATATATATATATATATATATATATATATATATATATATATATATATATATATATATATATATATATAGGGAAGGGATCAGGTGCATTTGTGGCTTTCCGTGCGGTTGATTAATGTGCGTGAGTTTTATACTTAATGTGCGTGAGTCTTGTGCTTAATATGCCTGAGATTTGCACTTAATGTGCGTGAATGTGTAATGTTAATGTGCGTGAGTTTTGTACTTAATATGCCTGAGTGTACTAATTCCCGGTTGTCGGTTGTACTCGTAGAGTGTATATCTATAAAGTGTATATACAATGAAATAGACAAGATAATATATCAAATGAGTTCTTTTATTCATCTTTGTATTGTTCTTCTTCCTTAGAGAGAAGGCAAAGAACAGTGTATATAGAGAGAGGGTCGGGAGAGTGAAGTGGAGAAGGGACCCTTTATTTGGAGGGCTACGAGCCCTTTTATAGGCACGATGGCGGGTTTGACCCGTCACCTCTTACTTTAACCCGTGGACCCGGTCCCAAACCGTTTGATCCTGACCTGACTATAAATGAGCCCATAGACGTACATGTGGTCAGTGCCGGGATATATATCCTATCAAGACAAATTCATGGCTGATTATACAGATCCGATGTCAGAGCCTTTAGAGTCTATAGAGCCTATCCCAGTGACTAAATCAAGAGGACCTACGTCATGCAAAAAAATGAAAAAGAAGAAGCCAGAAGATGAGTCTATGACAATTGATTTCAATGAGTAGAATAGGCCTATTGGCCCATTTGCAAGGAAGTTCGCATTTTATCTTGGCACTTTGGTTCGTACGCACGTAGACATTAACATCAGTGATTGGCCTAAAGTCTCCAGCGGGATTAAAGAATTGATTTGGCTGGATCTTAAGGTAATAACCATTAATTTAATTTATATATTGACCATTACTTCATTTTATATATGTTAATGTCAAGAGAGGTATACTTATTTGTTATTTTATTGTTATTATTCATAAAGAGTTTAATATCCCTGATGAATCAAGAAAAAATGTTATAAAGATTGCGAGGTCACGCTGGAAAGATTTCAAAACAAGATTGGTGCGTGATTTCATCAACAAAAAACACCCTATATGTAGCTCTCCCACAGAGTTATATGACTACTTGAATGAAGAACAATGGAA